AAAATACAAAAAAGGACTGGGGATATGGCTCAGTGGTTGAGTGCCCCTGAGTTCAGCCCCTGATATTCCCCCTCCCCCCAAAAAAAGAGGGAACTAAATACCAACTGGGCATGGTAACCCCAGCTACTGGGGAGGCAGGAGGATCTCAAGTTCAAAGCCCACCTTGGCAACTTAGCAAGACCCTCTCTCAAAATAAGTTTTAGAAAGGGTTGGGAATGTAGCTCAGTGGTAGAGTGCTTGCCTATCAGCACATGCAAAGCCCTGGATTCAATCCCCAGTATCAAAAGAGAGAGAGTAGGTAATCAATGAAATGGTTAATAAAACATAGACCTTATATACATGGATCTGACACTATAGGCATATATATAAATTAATATAATTAAAGTTACAGTTTATGTTCCTTAGTGAACAAAAGTTTGTGTGTCTATTTTCGAAGCATATTGGAAGCATTACAGTGGTTTAATGTACAATAATAGATAAAGGGCAAAAGAATAGTACATACAAAGCCTAACTACTGGATAACGCCAATGTATTGCACTCTTGAATTCTCAAAAACAGAACCAAATTAAGTGAAAAGAAAACAACACTAGACATATGGAAAATTTTCAAATAAGATATGTTTTCCTCTGGCTCAATCCTTCCAGCTATTGTACAGTAGCCCAACTTTATATACCATGCCAATGCCTCTAAAAATTATTCTCTTTCATTTCCTGGCAAGACTTAACTGTCTCTGTTATCTCTGGTAGAAATCATAGTAATATAATACATTTACACAGTACATTAGTATCATTAGCTCCTCCCACTGTGCCAGTAGCCTCATAAATGTAGTAGTTTAGCACTTGGAAAGACCACATATATTTTTGACCTGTTTATATGTCATTTTGCACAAAATTTTGGCTTAATATGCATCACTGTAATATTTATTGTGGTTATTTTCTATATTAATAAATGATGTATGTGCCTTAAGTTCCTAGTGACTCCAAACCTAGTCTCTAGTTCAATCTGCCAGATTCTCATGAAATACCTCAGCATTTCTGCAAAGCTACTGGCAAGTGATAGCAATCCATTTTTGCAGATTCAAAAATTGAAACAGCAATTTAGATTTGTCACCTCAAACCTCCTTGTCCAATTATGTTTTTCCTATATATTCTGTTTCCAAAATAATATGGCTCAAAATAAAACAAGCATACTCACATGTCAGATGACAAGTTTATATAATCCCTTAGTTACAGATGCAGTTCCAGAAGGAGGTGGAAAGCATCCAAAACACAATATTGTAATTTTTATAAAATTAGAGGTAGAAAAGAACTAGGAAACAGTACAAGAGGCTTATAGACAGTAATAATCTTCCCTAATTGGAGTGAATTCAGTAGGAGAGTAATCATTAAGCTTATTGATATCCACTGAAACACAAAAACAAAAACACAGTTCATACCTTGGCTTGACGTGGCAGAGAAACAACATTTACACATTGTTGTTTTATTATAGCTTTATACCAGTAATAACCTGAGGAAACTCTTGAGTAGATTATAGCTTCTTAGATGTCTTAAATTTCCTAAGTAATTTATTCTTGTCAGAAATTTAAATTATTTTTAACATTAAGACCAAACCCCCTGTTCAATGCAAGCTCCTGACCAACTGTCTTAGTCTGTTTGGTATGCTATAACAAAGACCCATATTAGCTGACAAACAACTTAAATTTCTTTCGAATAGTTCTGTGGGCTGGGAAGTTCAAGATCAAGGCAGTACAGATGCAGTGTCTGGTGAGTGCCTGTTTTTTGGTTTATAAATGGAGTCCTCTCACCTGTCTTCAAATGAGGGAAGAGAGAGGACTGCTCTCTGTGACCTTTAGGCACTAATCTTATTCATGAGGACTTCACCTTCATGACCTAATCACTTCCCAGCCCCACCTCTTCATACCATGACATTGTGGTTAAGTTTCACATATGACTTTTAGGGGCAAAGAAACATTTAGATTGTTACATCAACATCTTTAAAACCTATGAAGGCTAGTCGGGCATTATTAGATTGTGAAATCTACTTTGCTTTTTAAATACCAGAAATATGGGCTCTTAAGCATTTTTATTAAGTCCTAAAGATAACACCAACCATATTTCTTATTTTCTTTTTTTTTAATTGATTTTATTTTTTTAAATAACAGCAAAATGCATTACAATTTTTATTACACATATAGAGCACAATTTTTCATGTCTTTGTATATAAGTATAGTCATGCCATTTCATGTCTTTATACATGTACTTTGTGGTTTTTTGCATTACAATTCTTCTTACACATATATACCACAATTTTTCATATCTCTATATGTATATAAAGTATGTTGACACCCAATTCGTGTCTTCATACATGTACTTTAGATAATGATGTCCATCACATTCCACCATCTTTGTTAATCTCCTGCCCCCTCCCTTTCCCTCCCACCCCTCTTCCCTATCTAGAATTCATCTATTCTTCCCATGCTCCCCCTCCCTACCCCATGTTTCTTATTTTCAGGTAGCCTCTGGAAATGCCTTTCTGATAGAATCCAAATTGAAAATTAATATGTAACTCTATATTGTAGCTGTGATCCTAATGAAATCTACCTACCTTTACCAAGTAATATTACATTAAGTTTGTCAAAATCAGTTTTATACCTAATTTGGAATTGTGACTTTATAAAAGAATAAAAAAGAAATTATAAAGTTGTGCTATTTAATATGGCTAGCCACTAGGCACATTTGGCTATTTAAATTGAAATTTAATGAAAAATAAAATTAAAATTCAGTTCTTCCTTAATTGTACTGGCTGCATTTAAAGCACACCCTAGCTGTGCATAGGTAATTACTTCCATATTGACAACTAACAAAGTACTAAGACATAAAGCATTTTAATTGATAATGGCTTATATGTTTATGTAAAAATGTCCACAAAATGATTTCTCAAGAAGGCATTTAGATTGTTTATAATAAGACAATTTCATTGTGACAATAAAGTAATTTTAAACTTATAAATCCCACATTCTTCCCTAAAACTCTTACCCTAAAAGATTAACAAATGCAGAACTTCCAAAGACTACTTATACAGTATTATATAGAGAACTTGTTCAGTATTCCCAGATTCTGGAAAACTAATTTCTAAAAGCATTAAGAGAAAATTTCAAGTATGTCAATTTTAATTTGTCAATTGCCTATTTAGGCTACTCTTCCCTTCTGTATGTTTTGCTCATTATCTTCTTCTCCAAACTGTGTTATTATATATTTGGTTTTTTTGCTTTGTTTTGTTTTGTTTTTTCTAAGAACTTTAATGTGATGATTTGTAACTGTAGTTTCTTGGTCAACAGAGGCCAATATATAGCCATTTTGTGTGTCATTATCTTCAGTTAAACCTTTTAAGCATTAATTATATACCCCATACTTTTAACTTTGTGAGATATAGTTGTCCATCCCTTAGCAAGAATGATAAAATAGTTTTTCTATCCATGTTTTTGGAAGCAGACCCTTCTGATACTTCTTCTATAATACTGAGTTAGGGAAGATTTAGGAGAGCCTTAGACATGTTGTGCCAGAAAGTAACCAAATAATCTAAATAAATAAATTAAGTGGAGACATGTCAATGGAACTAGGAGCCAGCATGAAGAAGTTCACACTGAAAAATTCTAGGGAAGTTTGAGCATCAAAATAATTAAATATAGGAATGAATTGTAAGTCATTGAAAAAATATAAAGCTACAAGTTCATACAGATGGATGGAATTGACAAATAAATGGGTGGAGAGCAAAAAAAAGATTCTTCCTTACAGTAGAATGCTGACATTAATATGCATGGGATGGTGAAGTAGGAAAAATCACCATTTTGCAACTGATAATGAGGATTAATTTAGGCAAGAATTATCAGTGGGATATAGGGGAGATGTTTTAAGAGGAGCAATATGTTTACATTATTGAAATTATCTTCCCATATATTGCTGCTTAAGTTACAAGGGGGAAAATATCAACTTTAAAATGGAAAAAGCAGTGAGGGGCAGAGGATCTTTAGATGTGATAAGCCTCTAAATATCCTAATAAATTAAACATTTCTTATGTTCATAAGTAAGTGGGATGTATGATCTGAACTTAATCATGAGAAAAGTCAGTCAAAACCAAACCAAAATGAATGTTCTATTTTAAAACCAAACCAAAATGAACTGTTCTATTTTAAAACTCACCCTTTTTTAAAAAAAAAAAAATAGTGCTGGGATTGATCCAAGGGCCTCATGCATGCCAGGCAAACACTGTACCACTGAGCTCCCAAAAGTGTGCTATATTCTTTAAAATGCCAGTGTCACAAAAGATGGAGATAGAAGGGCTGGAAGAAGATTGAGGAACTATTCCAGAATAAATAAAACTAAAGACACCCAACAACTAAATGTAGTATGTTATCCAAGACTGTATCCTGGACTAGAAATAGGAAGAAAATGGGTGATAAATTAAAGGTATTGCATTGATGTGAAATTTCCTAAATTTAGTAACTATAATGATTATGTTAGAGAATATTCTATTCTTAGGAAATACACAGTAAAATTTTAAAGAGTAAAGAGGCATGATGTCTGCAATTTACTGTCAAGTGATTGAAGAAAATAATCATGTGTGACAGTGTGCTCACCTGGTATGATGGTGCACACCTATAATCCCAGAGACTTGGGATCCTGACTGAAGCAGGAGGATTTCAAGTTTGAAGCCAGCCTCAGCATAGTAGCAAGACCATAGCTCAAAAAAAAAAAAAAAAAACTACTTGGGTTGTGGCTTAGTAGTAAAGCACCCCTGGATTCAATTCCCACTACCATCAAAAAAAAAAAAAAAGAAAGAAAGAAAGAGAAAGACAAAGAGAGAAAATGATAACCTATGTAGTACAACATTAACAACTGGTAAATTTGAGTAAAGACTATACAAATTCTCTATATAAGTCTTGCAGCTCTTCTGTAAATTTCAAATTCTTTGAAAATAAAATTCTATTTGATATTTTCTAGCCCTTTTTAAGGCACAGAGTGATGTGATGACAATGAAGACACAGTCAGAGAGACTTTCAAAAGAATATGATCGACTCCTGAAAGAGCACTCAGAACTTCAGGTGGGTAACATACACTTCACCTAAATTTTTTGAAATAGTAATCAATATTTGTCCTTCTAAATTTAAAATGAGTTACTTAATCCTGGCTTTATTAAATGATTGAAGAAGGCAGATTTACCTAGAGGGTGAAGATTAGGACATTGCAGCAAAATACAAGGTAGTCATCACATAAAAAATGTTGACATGTAACTTAATATCTCAATTTGGATGAAATGTTAGGTGAAAAAATTGAGGCAGAAAAAATTCAGCATTGAAAAATATACTGGCTCTGGAAAATCTGGAGTTTCACTGTGGAATGTTTGCAGTATTTGTGCCAAAGTGAGGCCAAATGTCCCAAGTATTCTAGATACCTTAGGACAAAAGACTGTGGCATTCAAAATACATAACATGATTTGCCTGTACAGTTGATTCGAACAATGGAAATAGGAGGAAAAAACATCTCTCTGTTGTTAAAGTCATAGTCAGATCTAAGCCATAGGTTTTCCATCTCTACCCTTTTGCAGACATTATGCCCCTTTATAGAGTTATTTCCAAACATTCATCCATATTGGGCTTATCTTTGTCCCTCTCTTTAGTTGCCATGCAATAACCTGAAGTGATTTCCTAAGCATACTTTGATCATATGTGAAAGAGACCACTCCAGAGACACTATACTTAATAGACTTTGGAGTCAGAGACCTGGAATACCTATATTATATATATATATATATATATAATATATATATATATATATATATATATATATAAATACCTAGAATAGCTTAGTATTATATTAGCTTTTCGATTTTTGGAGATTATATTATCTCTCTGAGATTCACTTTCTTTTTACTGAAGAATATCTTATTCTCAACCATACACTTTGGTCTTGGGTTAGTTAAGAAGCATTCCAAAGCATGTTTGTAATCTGGCATTCCCAGTTGGTTTGCATGTTTGATTCAACTAGCCTATTTTGACAAGAACAATAAGAAGACTGGGCAGCCTAGAGAAGGGTAGATATCCTGTGTGTCCCAGTCCCAGGACACTAAGGGCTCAGTTCAAATAGGTTTGGAGTAGATAGTTAGATTTCCATCAAGACTGCCCTTCCCCTCATTATAGTACAGTTTGTGAAATTGCTTACCTCCTGAGGGCATGATAAGAATTACTCCATGAAATCAAGATCCACCATGGGAAGTGGAGAAGTCATTTCAAAGGCCTTGTACCTACATTTTTTTTTTCCCTCCTGTGAATTCAAGGTGTCCTCAACCAGGAAATTTCAATATCTGTGGACTTGACCAGGGTCTGAAAAATGCTTAGACCATTGAATGGAGAAAAGAAAAACAGGACATACCCTCAATTTCTTATAAACAGCATTCATTGCTCAATGTCTCCATTGTAGTAACAGCGATAGCAAAGGGCTACTCTTTTAATCCCTAAAGAATATATAACAGTAAGATTTCCCCAACCTGTCCACCTCCCTTCCCACCCCGTGCCCCCCCCCCCCAAAAAAAAAACTACTTTCAGCTTGGAACTTCTGTATTCTTGGCAAAATATGTAGAAAGATTTTCTGAGTAATTCTTTCCCCCCAAAATAGTTAATATCCATTTCTTTGGAAAAGGACCCCTTCCTAGATATACCAAGTACCAGTCTGGGAGTTGGGCCTTGTTTGATAGCATCTTTAGGCCTTAATCTAATTTCTACTTGTATCTCATTTTTTTAAATTCTTAATAGATTACATTTACTGAGAATGTGCAATAGATATAATACTTGGCTTCATATATGCTTACTCCCCCATGGCAACTCAGTAAGTTAAAATATATTAATACCCACATTTTTGTGGACAAACAAGAACCAGAAGTGTTATATAATTCACCCAAAGTAAACGAGAAGGTGATAGATTTAATGCTGGGATTCAAAGTCAGAAAATCTTTCTCTAGAACTTTCATTATTAACCAGGTTCTTTGGCCTTTGCTGGTCATTGATTAGACTATGTGTTCTTGATCCATTCTCTTCCCATTGCTGCTCTACTCCATGTCTCAGAGAGATAATTTCCCAGGCTAAAAGCAAGAGGAAAAAGAAAACCAAGAACTCCTCCCCCTACCCACTTCCTTTGGGTATCATCTCCTTCATGGCTCTAATTCCCTCCTCCATGGTTCCAGTTCCCCACTGGGCAATAGTTCCAGTTCTACCTGCTGGCCCTCAGTCTTGAGCCCCTTAACCATATCCTCCTTTGTCTCTTCAGCCCAAGGAATAGTGGTGGATTTTTGCTGTTGCTAATCTTTGAAGTGCCTTACCTCAATATTTGGTACAACTATTCTCATCACATGTGAAACCAGCTCCCAATAATAAATATCTCTGTTCAAAGGGTTGGGGAAAAAAAAAACCCAGCTTCTATAACCCTCAGGTAAATTATCAGACATCCATGTACCTCAACTAACTCCATTACTTAAATAAGAAATATACCTTATGAGTTTAACCTCATGAATATTTTCTGTTGTCAAAAACCAACTTTAGTAATTGAATTATATTCCAAGATTCTCTGGAAAACTTACGAGTTTCTTAATTTTACATAATTGAGGTGTTCAAATGAAACAAGCATAATATAAAGGATAATTAAAATATTAAAGAAACAAAATAAAAATAAGGGAAACCTGGTTTCTTTTCCACAATCAAATCTCATTTTGCATCTTTTAAATCCATTTGGATTTTCCCATCTGGTTCCTGTCCCTTATATAGGCACTAAGTAAATATTAGAATACAGTTCCTTCAAAACATGTAATCTTTACTTTCCCTATTTGCCCTGACTTTCTTCTTAGAAAAGAAAAAGAACTGATTAGGGATTTTTGGCAGCACAAACCCATTAGCACTTGACAGTTTTTAAATTTCATTTTGGAAAAATCACCATTTGCTTAAAGGACTTGTCCTTAATAGCTAAAGCTGTGATTTTTTATCTAAAATAGTTAGGTATAAATAACTGTGTAAAAGTGGTATGTTATTATTCAAGATACCTCCTCTAATCCCATCGTCTTTTTGATTGTTAATGTTATTTAAGTTGCTCTGAAAGCATTAATGCTCAAACTGAACAAGAGTTTTGTGTACAAGTAATAATACTCTGCAGTTCCTCTTAAGAGATTTCAAGTGATCTCTTAAGGTTAATTTCTCTGCCATTTTCCTTCAGTTTTAAGTGACATATTATAGTCATCTTTATAACATGATCAAGAAAGCATAATTTGTGAAGCCAGTTCTAATTTGAGAAAGACAAAAAAGAAAAGCCATTCCTACTGGGTTTTTGCTTCCCCTCATTCTTTCCTTGCCAAAAATCTTAATTGGGTTTACTGTAGGGGAATTTTAAAAATTTTGTTTTCCTGGGTCACCTGTGAAACAAAAGCAAAATAGATTAAGAAATTGAAAAAAAAAATGAACTTATCCAAGGGTATTATTTTGGCCCTGTAAAGTTTTTCAAGCAAAACTAAAATTTTATAGTTTTTATAATTTGAGACTTTCCTAATTCATTTTTCACACATGATTAGTTGTATAATTAATTGTTATACACAGAAAGAGTTTTTTTAGATATTTTTGCTGTGAATCTGTTTCTCTTTACTATGTTATCTTTTTTCTTATAGAATCGTTTAGAAAGAGACAATAAGAAAGGTCTGTGAACTTCATGGAAGAAGATTCTGATACACCGTGTCAAGATAATAAATTTGTTATCATGGTAGCCACTAGAAAATTTAAAATTCAATTTAGAAAAATGTACTATGACTGTTTTTTAAATGCCACACATAGACTAGGTAGTAGTGAAATTTTCAAAATATTTGATAATGTTTCAAATATATCACAAAGAGTATATTCCAGCTCTTTAAAAAATATATAAGCATGTTAAAACCCATATTTACATATTGATAGACTTTGGTGCAATGGTGGCTCTTTACCAATAAAAGGTTCATTGATTAGCCAGTTACTTCCAAATTTAGACGTTTTAAAGTTGCATGAAACTATCAATAGCCTTGAAAGCTTTGATGAGTTTTCAGTCATAATCTATTTAATCAGTTGCTGATAATGATGTGTTTGAAAATAGTATTCAGTATTGGAAAATTTATTCATAGGAAATTTAAATAAGGATAAATGATAAATATTAACCACTGTATTTATAGAGAAGAGTCACCAACAACAGTGAAAACAATGACAATTTTTTTTAAGCTTGATCTTACTATGGTTTACTCAAATAAGACTATTGATATATTTTTGTTACTGCACTTTTGCACATGTCATACTGTTTTTTAATTGACATTTGTGTTAGTAACACAAAAATTGTTATGAATTCTACCTTTTCACTCAGCATCATGGCACACGCCTGTAATCCCAGCTCTGGAGGCTGAGGCTAGAGAAGCATGAGTTCAAGGTCAATCTCAGTAATTTAGCAAGGCCCTAAGTAACTCAGTGAGACCCTGTATCTAAATAAAATATAAAAAAGGACTGGGATTGTGGCTCAGTGGTTAAATGCCCCTAGGTTCAATCCCTGGTTCAAAAAAAAAAAAAAAAGAATTCTACCTTTTCAAGATCTTCTATTAATAGAGATTACAACTGTTTGCATTAACTGTCATAGCATTGGACTGAACTTATTTTACAATGTGGAATTTTTGACTTAAAAAGTTAATGTATAACATATCCAAAAAGCAGTGTTTTTTATGTTTGTGAGAGCTACAAATTACACAGATATTACCTCAAATATTCATACACTGGTGTCCACAGTTTCTGAGACATTTCTGTATTCTAGAAGCTAAATATTAAATGCTGCTTTCCTTTCAAATATTCATTTAGAGATAGTGATTGTAAAAGTAACAATTTAGTTAACGATTTAGGTTTCAGTGTTTAGACATGAAAATTTATTTCCTTGTCTCATAAAGACCTAAATATAAAAGAAAATGAAAAATAACTGGAGTTTTTCTTCTTTGGTCTGTTTCATCCTCTTTTTTTTTTTATGAGAAAAATTAAGTAATATTGATGAACGTTTAAAACAAATGAATAACCATTAACTCAAAAAGAGCTTAAATTAGTATCTATTTGTGGAAACTATTTTGCTATTGAATATACATGATACTCCCTTTTTTAAAAAAAAAAAGAGTTTTTTTTAATATTTATTGTTTAGTTTTCGGCAGACACAACATCTTTATTTTATTTGTATGTGGTGCTGAGGATCGAACCCAGCGCTGCGCGCATGCCAGGCGAACATGCTACTATTTGAGCCACATCCCCAGCCCTCATCCTCTTTTTTTGTTTGTTTGTTTTTTAGTACTTGGGATTGAACCCAGGGCCTTCTTGCATGCTAAGCAGGTACTCTCTAGCCCACTCTTTTTAATTTTAATCTTAGACAAGACTCACTAAGTTGTCCAGGCTGCATCAAATTTGCAGTCCTCCTGCCTCGGTGTCCCTTACACAGTTGCTGAGGTTACAGGCATACACCACAGCACCCAGCTGTTGTTCATTGTAATTTTAATGTGTATTTTAATTTTGTGTGTATTTGATTTTTTATTGTAAGGTGTATAATATCATTTCAAGTAAAAGTCAAGAGTTACTGCTAGAAAACAGATATGAAGGAGACATTTAACAGGAGTAAGAAATAGGAGTTAGCCCATATGGTCTAACAACACCATAAATAACAAGGAAAGGGAGTGCTAAAATAGGAGAGAAATGAACAAATGACAGCTCAAAGTAAAGACATAGAAATATCAAAGTGAGATCTATATGGGTAAATATATAAGATATTGAATGTGTGTGATCTTGGCCTACTCTACAAAAATCAAGTCTAAAGTCAGAATAACATGCAAAAAAAAGGAGAAAAATACACATCTTTAGAACTGGAAGAACCAAAATCCCAACGTCATCATTTATGTAGTCATGTGATTTTAAGTTTTTCAAATTTGCTAGGCCTCCATTTTCATCTCCAAAATGGGAATAATAAAATTTGATAAGGATTGCTATACAGACTAAGATTACACAGTGATTCTCAAAGTTGTTCAAACTGTATAGTAAGGAGTCTGGGTACTTTTTGACAAGCATGAGGATTTGCAAAACTTTAATGTTTACATATAGGGGATCTTAAACCTCAACACTCAGTTTTGCAGATCTTCAACTAGAGACTTTGAAAGTTTGATCCTTTTTCCCAAGGAAAGGATTTGAGGGTAAGGATTTGAGTCTAGAATTCATGTATCTAGTTTCCCTGCATATTCATTCACAACTGGCTGTAATTTGCTAAATTGAAAACATTGCCATGTTTTGCCAGTGTTTGAACCAGGGAGTCTGGCTACAGAATCTGTATGCTTTACCACTGTACCAAACTGTCTCACACATCATATTTGTTAGTTTTTCCTTAGCAATTTCTATCATGTGAGGAGATATGTATTACATGAATTTAGTTACACTGCATATTAAATTGTTTTTCTTCTCATTATCAGTAATGACTTCTTTATGTCTTGAACGGCATTATAAATTCATACACAGGACTGTTATTTTTCCCTTTTTCCATCAGAATTACATAGGTTTGTCAGACTTCCTATTTAAACGTCTGCCTGAGTTTCTGGTCTCTAGGAAGTAGCACTTATCTTCTAGCTGAGCATTCTAGAATTCCACAGGAGTCATCTTTGTTGCTTATCCAGCTCAATGTTGATTGAACTCCAATACTTGTAATTTCCTTGTTCCTTTTTTTTTTCTTTGCAGTGCTAGGGCTCAAACCTAAGACCTCACATATATTAGGCAAGTTCCCTGCCATTGAACTAAGTCCCCAGCCCAATCACTTGTTCCCTAAGGCCTAAATTCCTCTCCTAGTTACTTATTACACTATGTTGGGAACTAGGATCCCTTTCCAGTGACAAAGTCCTGTCCCTGAACCCCAATCTAGAGCTCCCAACCACAGCTGCCAAGCTATTTGTGCCTGTTATCTTGCCCTGCCTCTGTGGATTAGCCTAGTTCTGCCTTCTCATTTTCTTTTTGGTGTCTACTGTCTTCTCAGGGTCTCTCTAATCTGGGTACCACCACAACTGAATGGCCCAGCCAAGCCCTCCAGACATGTGATGTATCATGCATTTGAGTGTCCATTACCCAATATATAAATATAGCAATTCTTTCAAGCATTGGCTTTTTAGTGTCTAGTCTAGAATGACTGTCTAAAGTCTATGAAGCATGCCTGTATTTTTTTTAAATCTCTCAGCCTGTTTCCTAGAAATCTTGAAAATCCACTTATGAAAATTTATTTTTCTTTCTTAAGATTTTTCTGTTTGTTTACTGAAGAGCATTTTATTTATTATTGTCTCACAGTGTTGCTTTCCACTTTGATCTCTAAAGAAACATGTGACTTTCAGTCCCTCTTTCTCTAGCCAAAAGTGATTTCAAATACTTAAGGAACTGTGTGTGACAGACTGAATTCCAGCTTCCCAGGAGATACCCATGTCTTAATCCCTGGATGCTGGAAGTATTTTCTTCTATGGCAGAAGATAAAATATGTGATTAAATGAAGGCTCTTGAGATGGAGAGGTTATATAATCTGAGAACTGGCTAAGTCCTAACTATATCACAATTATCCTTATTAGAGCAATAAAGGAAGATACCACCATGCATTAAAGGAGGTGGCACTATGACCACAGAGGCAGTGATTAGAGTGATATCCACAGTGAAGAAATGCCAGTAGCCACCAGAAACTGGAAGAGGCAAGGAGAAAATTCTCCCTTAGAGTCTGTGCTGGATCATGACACCTCATACCTTTCTGTGAAACTGACAGTGAACTTCTAGCCTCCAGGACTATGAGAATAAATATGATGATTCAAGCTACCAAGTTTATGGTGACTTGTTACAGCTGCCAGGGGAAGCTAATACAGAAATAGACAAGACTAATCTATACAGGCCTGGACTGAATTTCAAAATGTGTGGAAAACCACTACTTAAGCTGCCTGTTAGCCATTTGGACAAATCAAAGATTGCCTTAGCCATCTCTCCTGTTTTTGTTAATTTTTTCTCCTTGAATTTTATTTCTCCATTCCTCTGCCACTCAAAATTGCAAGCCACCATCATCTCTCACTTGAACTATTATGACAAACTTTTTCTGATCTCCCTGGATCTTCTCCTAACCCTTTCATACACATTCTCAGCAACTACCTGATTTTTTTTAATTTTTAAAAAGATCAAAGATCATGTCATTATGTCATTCTCTGCTTAAAGTTTTCCAAATATTTTCAATTGCACCTGAAATCACCTGAAACCCCAAGATCTCATCAGACTCCCACCTAATATCCAGTATCCTGTCAGTCCACCATCCCTACATCTCACCCAACTGGCTTTTGTTTTGTTTTTGTTTTTTTTCCCAGGACTGGGCATTGAACCCAGGGGCTGTCTACCACTGAGATATATCCCCAGCCCTTTTAATTTTTTTTATCTTGTGACAGGATCTCACTAAATTCCAGAGGCTGGCCTCAAACTTGGGATCCTCCTTTCACTACCTCCTGATATGCTGGGATTACAGGCATGCATCACAATGCCAAGACCTTATCTTGACTTTTTACCCTATTTTATTTTCATCTTAACATTTACCACTGTTGGAAACTGCCTGACTTATGGTTTGTTTTTGTCTTCTTCCCAGTGACTAACACAGTTCCTACACACAGTAAATCAATGGTTCACAACAAGGAGTGGAAAGGACCTCCTCAAAGAACATTTGGCAGTACATAGAGATATTTTTGATAATCACAAACAGGATGCTACTAGTGGACACAAGCCAGGGATGCTGCTAATCCCACTCTTTAATGCACAGGATACCCACAACAGAATTAGTCTGACCCAAAACATCCACATCACCAAGGTTAAAAGATCCTACAATTGGTGCTTATGGCAGAGGATACTAATTGCCATCTTCTAATTATTTTGTTTAACTGTGGTACAGACACCCAGATTTTATTTCATATAGTTACCAAACATAAAAACATTTTCCACATCCTTCTAATAAGTGGAAATAGGAATGTCATGTGGTGGCAATTTATTTTTTTCTTCGTCTGCCCTTCTTTCTGAAGCATACACTGTCCTCTTAGATCAAGAGTTTGAGGCCATGCAAAGTGGAGAAACGAGAGAAGGAAACTATATCCCCGATAACATAGTACCATTCCTGTCCTGAATTACTTCCCATAAGTTCTTGAATAAATGAATGACACTAGATATCTTTGATATGTTGTATCTCTTAACATCCTAAACATGGATAAAAAGTCATAAATGTCTCCTACGTGGCACAAAGCCATTAGCCTCTGTACCCTGCCTTCTGTGTTGGGGTCTTAAATTAAAAATTACATCCCTACTGTCTCTGCATATTAAGTATATTATATTTAACTATTACTAATCCATCAACATCATTCAGTGCCTATACATTTCACACTATAAGAGTTTACAAGAGAACAGACCATGGACTCTTCTTCCATGTCTTCCTTGTCATTAGCATGATGTACACCATAAGGAGAGCCTGCACTACAAGCACAAAAACATCCAGCTACATCACATATAAAAAGGTAGCACATAAAAACTTGATGTGTAAGCCTAATAAATTAGGAGAAGCAAGTTTCTTACAGGGTGGTGATCTTGGTAATCATCCCTCTTCCTAGATTTGAGCAAAAAATGTATTTGAAGTTTTGGCTTTGACCCTCAAACCAGGTGTCTTCTTGGTTATGCCAGGTCTCTCTCTAGTGCTCCTTAAAAATCCTTGTTCTGTGAGAAGCACCACCTGTGGTAAAAATTTCCTTCTCTTCTAAAAACTGCCAATTTCCTGGAGTACAAAGAGGCATAGAATATCACTTTTAGCTAAGGGCTTCTTGGCATAACTTTCCATGAAGCTTTACTTCATGAAAGTGTTTCTCCCCCTGCCCCCAACTCAATCAATCAAATCAATATGTAGGGAATGTAAAAATTTCAGAAAAAATAGTTAACAGTTTGGTTAATTTTCTTATATGTATACATCCACACAAATATTTACAAAAACAATATCATTTTGATACATACTCCACCATAACCTGCTTTTCCCCTCATGTCAATAAAATATTCTATGAAAAGGGTGTACAACTTACCTGTAACAGGTCATATAAACATCATCTGAGGGGCCAGTAGTTTTTCATAAGCCCTATTCACCACTGCCCCCATTGACAATTACTGAGCCAGGTAACCATTGTTAGCAATGAAACCGAGCCCATCACCACTGGGAGCGAAGAAGGGGACTCAGACTTCCTATGGCATAGTGTATTTAACCTATCCCCTGATGTTGACTTTTCATGAGAATATTTATTGGCAGAAAATGATCTGGGGAAACCATAGGGCATAGTGGTTACATGCATAAACTACCTAGGTTCAATTCCCATTTACATTATGACTTTCACTTTCTTCATCTTTAAGGTGGTTAGAGCTCTATTCCATGCACTTCTTAACAGAATTCATTGAGTTAATACATGTGAAGTAGTATCTGGTGGTAAGTTACTCTGTTATACACTAATGTTCAAATGGTGAATTGTCCCCATTTTTAAAAAATCTGACAGAAATTTATGAATAGGTCTGAAAAGTAAAATGTTCTGGAGATAAGTCAGTGGTGATTGCACAAAAATGTGAATGTAGACAATACTAATTAGCTACACTCATAAAAGATTTAGGACAGAAAATTTTGTTTTGCTTATTTTACCACAATACAAAAACACTGGGGAAAAAGGTAGAAGGAGGACCCCCTACTTCTATGTAATAAAAATGCCCTCTGAGGACTGGGGATGTGGCTCAAGCGGTAGTGCGCTCGCCTGGCATGCGTGCAGCCCGGGTTCGATCCTCAGCACCACATACAAACAAAGATGTCCGCCAAAAACTAAAAAAAATAAATATTAAAATTCTCTCTCTCTCTCTCTCCCTCTCTCACTCTCTCTTTTAAAAAAAAAAAAATGCCCTCTGGTGTCCTCTTTTCCCACCCCAAACAAAGCACAGTACCCAATGTGCTTCCATATGCAATAAATATTCATTTGGGGGGTTGTATTCAGTTCAGTTCTAGTGCATCTGATTCTTTTCAAGTGACTTCCCATTCCCTGTCTTTAGACTGTGTCCTTGTTATAGTAAGATTATTACATGATCAGATACAATTTTAACCATCTTAAAATATTAATAAGTCCCTATGTATTCTAGGAACTGATGTATTTCCCTTAAAATCTCATTGACAGATTTGATATTGTGGAAGGGCCTGGGTTGGGGGCATTTATTAGCCACTTCAGCCTTAACAGCATTTTTTCCCTTTCCCAATAGTTAAAAATAATAATTACATATAATTATATCTATACAATATATATAACATTTTTGACTTTTTAAAAGGCAAGAGTGGGCAGATCTAATTTTTCTGAAGGCCTAGAGTAGGGAGTACTCTATATAAAAATAAATACAAAAATACCAAATAAAGTT